TATACTTTCGTTTTTTAAAAAGATAATACAAAAATGAGAAATAAGGAAAAACTAATGCAAACTATATATATATATATTTTTAATAATATATATATATATACAGTATATATATATATATATAGTAATAATCATTTATATATATATATATATATATATATATATAAAACTATTCCCAATGGGAGTCAGAAAATGAATGATATTTGATAGACAAAAGAAATGGCAATTTTTTTTGTTGGAAAAAAATATATAAAAAATCAAATATCAGTGAAAAATGTATTATTATTATTAAAGTATATCACTGGCAGTGAGAGAGAGAGAGAGAGAGAGAGAGAGAGAGAGAGAGAGAGATCATTATAAATATTTATATATTTTTTAAAGATATTAAAATCATTATTATTATTATTATATTTTTCATAACTATATATTTGTATTAATCATTATACTTATGGCATAAATTCCATAATCAATAGGTATATACTATATATATATATATATATATATATATATATATATATACGATATAACTATATCATTACAATTACTTATGTATTGATTGATAATCACAACTAATAATATACCGATAATAATAATAATAAGTAATTTGTTTTATCAATATCTATAATCTCTCTCTCTCTAATATACGGTAACTAACTTAATATATCCTTATTTATAACGTTATCAATATACAGTATATATATATATATATATACTGTATAATATAAAAGTCATAATAAGTCTATATAATGTCTTAATACCCGTTAAATATATGTTTAGCTGTTTTTAAATGTTATATATTTTTTTTATTTTACTACAAATAAGTGTGTGTGTGTTTGAGAGAGAGAGAGAGAGAGAGARAGAGAGAGAGAGAGAGAGAGAGAGAGAGAGAGAGAGAGAGAGAGAGAGAGAGAGAGAGAGAGAGAGAGTATAACGAGAATTGTATTTTTAGTTTAACTAATAATCTCTATAATAATAATAATAATAATAATACTTTAATAATAATGAAGGCAAAGGAGAAAAAATAAGATATATATATATATATATTATATATATATATCTATCAAATAGTTGACAATTGGTAACGAAATACACCATTAAATCGGTGATATATATCGGCTTAAATACAGTATATACAGTATTATATCATATATATATATCATATACAGGGTATATAATACATCCTTATATTAAAACTTTTATATATCTATATATTTTGTTAGGCAATATGTTTGGCAATAAAAAAACTTTTTTTTGTGCTTTCAATGAAAAAAAACTACATAAATCTGTATATAATATTACAAATATTAGTGTATATATATATATACGGTTAATATACTAGTATATAATAATGCTGTATATATCTGTAATATCCGTATCTTTACAGTTAAGTTAAGTTTATATGCAATATAAATTGACATCAAATACACACACAAAACAATTTATAGCATAATTACTTGAAAATAATACAACAACAAAAATAAAACTAAAATAATATTAAGCCATGATTTTCTAGGTAATGCAAACAAAAATTATACTGGTATATTACTGTATATATATATATCTATATCTATATGATGATGATATATATATACTGTAAATATACATTAAAAGCTGATTTATTATTAATTAAGCGCTCATTAAATTGTATGGAAAGTTTTTGGATGATATTTTTAGTCTCTCTCTCTCTCTCTCTCTCTCTCTCTCTCTCTCTCTCTCTCTCTCTCTCTCTCTGGCAAAATACTACTACTACTACTACTATAATAAGCTTGTTTTCCTATAGATATATATATATATATATATATATTATAAGCAGCAATGATGATGATATACCCCTACTGATCAATTATATTAATAATTGCAATCAAAAAAAAAATTACTAATAGTAAGCATAGTTAAAGGGCATATAATCTGATTATTATCATTATTATTATTAAAAACAACTGGTATAGTGTATAGTGGGCAGGGTTGTAATGATGATGATGATGATAGGGGCAGACAAGGGTGTAATAAGGGGGGGGGAGGTTGAGATTGAACTGACTGATTGATTGATTAGATTTTTTTACCTGAAATATACGCCAATAGAGTATCAATATCAGGGCCAGTGGTACGTAAAATGTTGAGCACGTGGCAAACATTTGATAGGCAATATCCTGTGATAGTAGACATATACGATCGACTTCAATACGTTTCAGGAAATCAGGATCTTTCCAGCCGAGTACCGGTGCCAGCGATACGACCATAGCTACGGCCCATATAATGAATATCATTGTACCTATACGTCGACTGTTACGATTGTGTATGTAGTCGACATTGGTTACGGCCCAAAACCGATCCTATATGTGTATGTATGGGATGGGATGGTTGGGTTAGGGGATGGGGTGTGTGGGGTGGACAGGGAGTTGGTTGGTTATGTTGAATAGATTAAAAATTTGCGAGTGGGGGGAAATAAATGTAAATTATAAAATTAATTACTGGCAAATAAATTTTTGTTTGTTTGTTAGTATACTGTAATTTAAAACTATAGGTATATGTATAGGTGGTAGTAGTAGTAGTAGTAGTAGTGGATATAAATTGATTTGAAAATTATTATTTTTTTAAAATTTAAGTATTATTAAAATTGTTTTTTTTTAATTTATAATTATTTTCTAATTATATGAAATTATAATAATTAAAATACAGTACTATTTACTACTACTACTACTACTAATAATAATAATAATGATAATATTTAGCATTATTTTGTTATAGATAATACTACTACTACAATATAGCTATACTAAACTATATACAGTAGTATATTATGTTAGATTATTTTATTTATTGATATACAGTATTATATAATCATTTTTCTAAAAAAAAATCTCAACAACAATAACAAAATCATTAACAATCATAGATTATTTTCAACTAAAATAAAACATTTAATATAAAAAACAAAAAATCTTGCTAAATAAGCATGATAACTTTATTTTTTGATAAACCAATTTATCACAAGTGTGTGTAGGTTTGTATATACAGTATATATATTTGACTTCGGATATGCCAGAATGTCTAGCACCTAGGTGTTACTTTTTATAAATATAATAACACTTACACACAAAATTTTATTATCAAAGTTATCACTTTTTTAACTAACTTATGCAGACATTTTTGTACAAAACACGAATTTAAAAAATGTCTAAAACTTCAATTTAAACTAAAATTTTAAAAATTATAATAATAATTATAACAATGTTTTTGAGTATAACTAGAATTAATTATTAATCTGTATATTATAGCACATAATAACTTTTTTAATGAAAATGAAATAATATAAATCTATTAATCTATAATAAAAATTGATAGAAAAAAATATTTTTAAAAATTTTAGTTTAAATTGAACTTTTAGACATTTTTAAAATTCATATTTTATTCAAAAATGTCTGCATAAGTTAGTTAAAAAAGTGATAACTTTGATAATAAAATTTTGTGTGTAAGTGTTATTATATTTATAAAAAGTAACACCTAGGTGCTAGACATTCTGGCATATCCGAAGTCAAATATATATATATATATATATATATATACTGTACTGTATATGTTAGTTACTGTATATAATTTAGTAATCAATAAACTATAATGACATTGATTAAGTTTAACTGGTTTTCAACACACAAATAACAACAAAAATTTTCCCAATGATTGTAATAGAGTTTTGTTAAATATATATATATATATATTGCAAAAAAAACTATATGTATATATGGTTTTTATATTTAGTTATTTTTTTTATTTTGGTATCGATTGCTAGATTTTAGGCCATAAATTATTTGCAATCTAAGCGCAACTTTTAATTAATTTTTGCTGGATTTATATATATATATATATATATATATATATACAAAAAATATATAACTTAAAGATTACGATATATATATATAACAATCTAATATACAGTATTAAAAAATACATAACATAGTACTACTACTACTATATATATATATTGTCTAATAAATATATTATAATACTGTGTGTACTGTATATATATAGTAATATAATATATATAATAGTAGGACAGCTAACAATTTAATTTTATATTTATAATTAGTAATGTATTATAATTTATAACACACACACACACACACACACACACACACACACACACATACATACATACATACAATACTATACAAAACTTTTCTATACATTATATATCACGATATATACTGTATATAAAATTTATATACAATACAGTACAGTATAAGGGTATTAAATTATTATATAATATAATACTGTATAAGTACTGTATCATTAATAATTAAATCTATTAAGAAAAATGAGACTAACTATCCTAACTAATACGGTATATATCTATATATATATATATATATATATATATATATATATATATATATAACTTATATAATAAATTATGCACAAAAAAATTTAGATTAAATTAGATTTTATAAATACTATATATATATATATATAAAAATAAATCTCATTTAAGTCTCTCAACAACAATATATATAAAAAATATATATATAATTTATATATAGATATATATATATATAATATATTTATTCATCAACCAATTGATAATACAAACCATTGCAATGGCCAACAAATGCAATATACTGGCCGTACAGCATAGGACGTCCACTATGGTCCAGACGTCGCACAGATCGGGTCCCAGCGACCACTGGCCACTGACAACATAGACGGCACCCAACGGCATGACCAGACAGGCAACCATTAGGTCGGCTACGGCCAGCGAAAATACTAGATAATTGCCGACTGCCCGCAAATGCCTTTCCAATAGTATGGCCGCTATGACAAACAGATTGCCGATAACTGTGCACAGTATGGCCAGTGCCAGTATACTGGCCATTACAATGGTCATTGCCATTGCATTGTCGTCGTCGTCAGCATCATCCGCGCCGTCGACATCACTACCACCTAAACCATAGTCATTGTCGCCGATATTACTGCCAATGGCGGCACTGTTTACGCCACCGATGCCGACACTTCCGCCACCGCCGCCACCGATGCCGACGCCACCGATAATAACGTTAAGATTGTTTATAGTTATCGACTTATTATTATTGTTATTATTATTGTTAATAGTATTAGTTAATAATGTTTGGACAACAATTGTATCCATAATTGTTTGGATTTTTTTAGTATATATAATATATATATCATTGATATAATTGATTTTATATTTCTATTTTTTTTTGTTTAAAGTGGTTTAATATAGTTTTTTATATTAAAAATTAATTAATTAATGAATTAATTAATATTAGTATAATCTTGATTATTATTATTTTGTCTTATTTAAAAAAAATCATTATCTATATGTATTATTGTTATATTATTATTAGTATTAGTATTATTTTTATTATTATTATTATTATTAATAACCGATGATAACTATATGTTTTATACGATTTTTTTGGCACTATATATATTTGAAAACTTGTTTTTTTTAATACATATATTGTATTATAAATACCGTATATATATATAATTTTGTTGATTATATAATCAATCACTTTTATCAATCTGTTATAATATATAAAAAAAAATTAAATAAATTTTTCATAATTAGTTGACTATAAGTTTAATTAATATCAATCAAAATACAGTATACTATATATATATAATTATAAATACTTAAGTTATTTATTTTAGGATTAATATAAAATTTAATATAAAAATTTTAATCCTTACCAGTGATTTTTAATTATTAAATATTTAAAATAATTTTTTTTATTGTTTAATAACTTGAAAGTTGAAAGGTGTCACCAGATTAACAATATATTTAAGATAATAAGATTATTATCTTATTTTTTTATTGAATCTGAAAATAAATAATAATAAATAATTAATATATTAAAAAAATAAATAATTAATAGCTTTAAATATACTGGTATTATATATACAACAATTAATAATAATAATATTTTTAAATTTTAATCTTTTAGTTATTAGTGTTAGTTATTAAATGATAATAATAATAATTGTCATACATTACTACTACTACTAAATATAATAATATTTTTATTTGCAAAATGCAATAATAATAATAATAATAATAAATTTATTTCTAAAATTAATTTAATCTCCAAAAATTATGTTATGAATTAACTATAAATATAAATAACTGTAAAATTAATATAAATAATAATAATAATAATAATAATAATACCAATTAATAATCATAATGATAATCATCATCATAATAATAATATATGCAAAATTAGCTAACATTAAATTTTACTAATAATAATAATTATTATTATTATTATTACTAGTATTAATGCATTTAATATTTATAGTATTTGTTTAATAAATTTGATTATTTATATAAATGATTAGTAATTTATATATATATTTATATATTTAAAATAAATGTTAAATATAAATCTTAAATAAGCATCATTAAATAAATATACTATAAAAATTAATTTTTAATTAAAAAATAATGATCTGGATCTATTTTATATTTACTAAATAAATCTACTTTAAACAAATATAATAAAAGCTTATGTTTTCATGTTTTTAAATAATTATAATTAAAATAAATAATAATAATTATTATTATTTTCATATTAAGTGTTTACACAAAAATTATATTTTTTATTTTATAGTACTTTTACAGTTAAAAATTAATTTATTACAAAACACATACTAATAAAGTATTTTACTTTTATCTAAAAATAATATTATTTATTAGGAAAAAAAATATTTTAACATTTAATAAATTTGCAATATTTAGTTAAATAGAAATTTTTTGACTACAATTATGACAAAAAAAATTTTTTTAATAAAATTAATCCTTGAGCATTTTTTCCATAATAAAAACACATAATTAAAAATGTCATATAAAATATGATATTTATTAGCGTAAATATTTATATATATATATATATATATATATAATTAAATAAATATACATATATTTACTAATGTCTATCAATCTATGTGTATGTGTATGTGTATGTGTATGTGTATGTGTATGTGTATGTGTATGTGTATGTGTATGTGTATGTGTATGTGTATGTGTATGTGTATGTGTATGTGTATGTGTATGTGTATGTGTATGTGTATGTGTATGTGTATGTGTATGTGTATGTGTATGTGTATGTGTATGTGTATGTGTATGTGTATGTGTATGTGTATGTGTATGTGTATGTGTATGTGTATGTGTATGTGTATGTGTATGTGTATGTGTATGTGTATGTGTATGTGTATGTGTATGTGTATGTGTATGTGTATGTGTATGTGTATGTGTATGTGTATGTGTATGTGTATGTGTATGTGTATGTGTATGTGTAAACTACGTTATATTTATGTATATATTTAATATTAATAAAATTTACATGTTATGGTAATCCCGCAAATTATCCCTAAAGCAAGTAAATCATAAAAATTTTTTGATAATTTATTACTTTAGAGTAAAAAAAGGATTATAAATATATGTTCATAAAGTCTAATGAAAAATAACAGCAATTTATTTATTTTTGTTGTTGTATTGTTGTTGTTGTTGTTATATATATTTAAAATAAACAGATTTTGTTGTTGTTGTTGTTGTTGGTGGGCATTAATCTGAATAATAAAATTTATTGGTTTTTATTTTTATGATAATATAGAGAGATTTTCCTGGTGTTCAGTAATATTTGTTGTTGTTGTAGTTATTGTATGGTTTTTATTAAATAATTTTTTTTATATATCTGTTAAGTTAATTTATTTAATCAATAATAATAAAAAACACTATATATTGTATATCATATTATGGTATATAACGTTAGTTTAATCTTAGTTTGTATTTACTAAATAAAATTTATCAAAATTTTATCATTTAATTTTGTTTATATATAATATTTATAAATATATATATATATTTAATATATAAAATATTAATTTTTTAGTATTAGTAAAAAAATTAATATATTTGATTTATAATATACCAAAAAGAAAACATTTTATTTTTAATAAATAATAATAAGATTTAATAAATAATAAAACTAATACTTGATGACACAGTTTACTTTAGTTAGTATTATTTAATTATTAATAATTATGTTATATTATATATAGTATATAAAATGATGATTTTATTATTATATTATTTTGATTTAAAAACATAAAATTTCAATTAACTTTTTACAGTATAAGATATAAAGTTTAAAAATAAAAAAATTCAAATAATATAAATTAATAATAAGGTAATCTGTTATTTAATTATTTTAACTATTTGTATGTTATTAATAAAATGTTAAATCATTGATTCATTAATTAAAATTATTATTGTATTTATTAAAAAATTATTAATAGTAAATATGTAATTAAATTATTGTAATGTAAATAATACTAACTATATAACTTTGTATAATTTTTTAAAAATTTTTTTGTTAATTAATTTTTTTTATAAATAATATATCATATATATATATATATATATATACAGATATATATACAGTATATATATATATATATATAAAACATTAGCATAATTCAATATAATATATACATATATAAATTTATTTATATATATATATAACTAAAAAATAAATATGTGGCGCAAACACATACACATACATACACACACACACACACACACACACACACACACACACACACACACACACACACACACACACACACACACACTATGATTATTATTGTAAATGTCAGTCAAATTGAAAATTTAGTCAATCTTGACGACAGTTATAATGAAAATACCAGCAAAAAAAATAAATACATTTTTTTGTTGGTTTTACACATATTATTTACTAAGACTTTATAATATATAAATTACATTTTTTTTATATATTTTTTGGTTATCGAAATAAAATATAAAAATATATTTTTTTAGTATTTTATAAAAATTTTGTTTGTTGTTGTTGTTGTTATCAGCAAAATATATTATATACTGTACTTTATATATATATATATAACACTTTAGGTTTTCATATGATGTTAATGTCAAACTACTATTAAAAATATTGTATTTTTTGCAGTTTTTTTTGTAGGTTTTATACATTATATAATATATATATATATATTTAAAACAAAATAAAAGTTTAATATAACAAATATTCTAATAAAAAAATATTATTATATATAAAAAAAATCAATGTTTGATTTATTTGTTGAGATCAGTTAAAAACTATAGTATTAATTAAAAAAAATAATAATTAATTATTATATAATAGATTTAGATTTTGTTTGTTTGAAAATTAAAATAACATTATTTTTTATAATATATTATTATTATTATCGTTAATAATAGCATTGTTTAATGCAAAATTTTATTAATAATAAGTTTTATAACTTGTAATAATGTTATACAATAAACATAATCTTATAAATTTTAATAAGTATTTTATTTTTAAAGCAAAAATTCATGTCTAGACATAATTTAAATCAATTAGACTATATTAAGTGCTAGATTAATTTTTCTTATTTTTACTTATTATTATTATTATATACATATTTAATATATGTAGCATTTATAATGTATTTATAGTAAAGTAATATAATTTAAATATAAATTTAAAGTAAAGTATAATAAAGTATTTACACATCAAATATTACACAATTATTTTAATAATAATAATAATTAATATTATTATATGAAATTATAATAATTAAAATACTATTAGTAGTAGTAGTAGTAGTAGTAGTAGTAGTAGTAGTAGTAGTAGTAGTAGTAGTAGTAGTAGTAGTAGTAGTAGTAGTAGTAGTAGTAGTAGTAGTAGTAGTAGTAGTAGTAGTAGTAGTAGTAGTAGTAGTAGTAGTAGTAGTAGTAGTAGTAGTAGTAGTAGTAGTAGTAGTAGTAGTAGTAGTAGTAGTAGTAGTAGTAGTAGTAGTAGTAGTAGTAGTAGTAGTAGTAGTAGTAGTAGTAGTAGTAGTAGTAATAATAATAATAATAATAATAATAATAATAATAATAATAATAATAATAATAATAATAATAATAATAATAATAATAATAATTTATTGATATAAATTTATT